TTTTTTTTTTTTTTAATTGTTTAAACCTTACCATACCAAGTAATTGTTTTAATGTTATTTTATATAATATTTGTCCTACAATATACACATAATTATACTCTACTTAAGAATAATACGTTGTTATGAAGCTTAATTTAAATAATTTTAAGAATATCAGTGATTTTGTCTTAACTATTATTTGTGGTTGTAACTTTAATGATGTAAAAATGAACAAAGGCTGACACAATTTAAATTATAACAAATTATAAAATTATAAATTATACATAACATTCACAGTTTAATAAAACATTAATCAATTGTAGCATTGGAATCATTATTTTCAATCACTTATTATAATTTAACTATCATGTTCAAAATTCTTGTAGTGTTTCGATCTCATTTATATTTAAATATTAATGTTTTAAATATATTATAATTTAAAATTACCAAAATATACATGTTATTAAATTTTCTAAAATATTTATTAGTTATTATTAATGATAAAAATATATTTATATAATATATATTTTATATTGGAATTATGCATATAAAATGAAAATAATATTTAACAATTTTTACAATCAAATAGGTTGGTATATAATTATAATATATTCATTAGGTTTTGCAAAAAATATTGTTCACTTGCGCCTTAAATTATCTAACCTAGCTTGCAAGTCTGCATCAGCGTCATTTGGTTGTGGAGTAACAGCACCACCTGCACTACCACCGCCTCCACCATCTTGGGCCACGATTGGTACTTTACCAGTGGTCGCTACACTTATTGAGCCAGAAGCTGAGGGCAATCCAGATAATTGATCTGTGAGCTGAAGACCTAACTCATCTAATACTTGTGTTACAATTTGATCTCTGAAATAAATATTATAGCAATAAGTTATTTTCCGTATAAAAGTAATGGTAATAACATAATATATTTAAGAGGACATGATACCCGTATGTGTTGTCTACATCTTACTATTTTTAGCTCATCAGAACACGTGTAGCTCCGTTAGCTTAAAAGTTAGAGTGAACTGACCTCTTATAAATTTCAAAGGTAAGATTATTATCTAGACAACCTCATATATGCTTTTTATTATATATTAAATTAAATAAAAATTGAAAATTTTTTGTGCATCTTAAAATATGCATAACTTGCTTTAAAATTTAAATATAATAAAAAGTATATGAGGTTGTCTAGATAACAATCATACCTTTAAATTTTATAAGAGGTCAATTCACTAGCTTTAATTTTTAAGCAAACGGAGCTACACATGTTCTGCTGAACGTAAAATTTACTATATAATGCACTTGTAAAACGGAGACAACACATGCAGGTATCACATCCTCTTAAGGTCTAAAGAATGCTTTAGTGGATATTAATATGTAATTAGATATTCATTTAAAAATGGACAAACAAGTAATTGTTTTAAATATTACCAAGTATGATATGTTAACTAAATTTTCATCTTTTATAATAATTAATAAGTATGTATCTCCTTTATGTTGAAATTCTAATGTGTAATACTAAAATGAGAAAATAATAGTTTTTAAAAATTCTATAACTTATGTTAGAATTCCTCGATTGTGATTATCAATTATTAGATACTCCATTCAGTAGTTTAAGAATGGCTGGTCCCGTGAATGCATAAGAGCTGTGCATCTATCCCCACAATAGCACTAGCACAGCTGCTTCTATTTACCCACCCAATCATTTGGCTGAAAATGATCGTCATACAATTATGGTCAACTTTGCGATTAGGGTATTAAACAAATGTACTAGCACATTTGGTATACACAAAAATGGCCACTCTTAAACTGAATAGAGTATATATACATATCCACGGACCTTACAAATAATTACAAATAAATATTTAATCATACGTTTCTTCTTCATCTCCTTCGTCTTCCATGGCATCATCCATAGCATCATTCATTACTTCTTCCTTCATATCCATTACTTCAGACTGTTTTTCAAACTCTTGTAAGATCCTTTGAATTTGCGGTAAATTTAGTTGCCTATTAAAATATAAAATATTTTAATTAATTGAGGACTATATTGTATTATTACAGAACAATAAACATTCATAAGTAGCAATTCACGTTTCTTGGTTATACTTAAGAAAATAATCTTGAAGACATTTTTTTTGTTTAAGACATATTAGAATTGAGAAAATATTATTCAGCGTAATTTAATACATATGAACTTGTCAGAAAAAACAGTAATTATTTGTTACTGCTGTATGATTATCATAAGGAAGATAACAATTACAAAAGATTTACCTGTTCATATTTTGCATTGCTTTAGTTACACCTTTCATTGCTTGACCCATAGCATTTTGCGATTTCAGTGTTTGTATTTTTAAGGATACTGCTTGTATATTAGCTTTCATCACCATAAATTTCTTCTGGTAACGCCTTGTTCTTACTAAATCTCTTGCCATGATTTTTACCGATTCCTAAATCCTCAAAATATTCATCTTAACTATTTAACAAACATCTAATAGATACTTAGATTTCTAAAATATACTATTAAGGAAATAATAAATCAATTAGTGGGATTAAATTGTTAAGGATCTGTTTTGTAATGTAATATATTAGTTTGCCACACTTGACTCATAAGTCGGAATCATGTATTTAATATTAATAAAAGCATGAGTTCCTCCGTGTCTTTCAAGAATTTCTAAAGTATTATTTACTAAGTCCCCAACATCTTCTTGTTGATATTGAGCATAATCAATGCCATCGCCTGTATTTTTATTAAGATTCTTGTATACGTTGAGGGGCGGTAATATTTGTCTGTAATAGGGCACTAGAGCTTCTCCTACCATATCAGCCGATGTTACTAAGGTTTGGACCATTTTCAATGTTGCTATAACTACATCTGGATGACCAGTGTTAAGTGCTAATTTTATTGGAATAATCAGTTGCGGCACAACTGGCAGTATACGATCTGGTGTACCGTTTTTTAGCATATCTGTAGCTCCGCGCTCTGCCACTGCACGATATGGGTATGCAACTTCACGTAATCCATCGAAAAAAATTGGTAAATAATGGTGATAATCTATATTTTCAAATGAGGTTTTCCACATAACTCGCCCGCTATCGACAGACAACATAAAGTCACCTCTATCATAATAGCGACGAAATGCAGTATTTCCAATTGGTGTTTGACATGAGCGTGATCGAGGAGGACCGGCCACAATTGTGTTTGGTTGTCGTGATTGAGAACTAAAAGGCGGAACTACACGCTTTGATCTTGATTTGACTGATTTCATATTTAAATACAAGCATTACTAATAAAGATTAATGCCCAATAAAGAAATAACCATTTTCGTAAGGTTTATTCATTTATAATATTGACTTTAAGATAGTTAAGTAAAAACATTATTTATAACTGTTAAACTATGCAGGATATTATCAACCTATATTTATACAAGTACTGAAGTACCAGGAACTATATTTATTTTTTTTATACATAAATGCGTAATTTGGTTACTAGGATACAGACAATAAAATTATTGATTAAATAAAAAGATATATAAAATACCTAGGTAGTAGTTAATTACTTTTTAAAGTTTTTGGTATGTAAAAATGTTTATTTGAAAGAATAAACATGCATAAAGTTCATAAGTAATAGGTTAAGACAGATTAAAAAATAATCATACCAAATGAAACATGAACATAACAACAAAGAAAGAAGAAACTATTTAATTTTTGTCTCATATTAATATTTAAACGTGTTCTAGATAATAGGTCATCAAAATAGAATTGAAAATTGTTAATAAAATCAATGATGGTTAAACATTTTTTTTTTTAATTAAGGACTTAGAACACTAAAATATTCCTTATACTTAATGTATCACAAATTCACAACTTGTACCTACAAATGGATAGGTGTTACTTAGCATTACACCTAAGAAGGTTAGAAAAGGCTATTCAATTTGGTGTTTTGTTTATTTGATAAAATGATAATTGATTTTATGGTTCATTTATTAGTATAGTAGTTTATTTAGTGTAGAGCAATTATTTGTTGTTTAAAATGTTTGTTTGGATATCGCTTACATCATTAATAATAAAACTTTTATTAAGTTTTCTTTTTTGCTATGATTTTGAAATTACTTGAAAAGGTAAGTACAACAATTGTATAACTATTGGTGTACAGAAAAATAATATACTTAACCAGATAACCTATTAAACTTTATAGGGGGGATAATTTATAAATAATTTAATAACTAATACTACGACCAAAAATGTATAGAATATGTAAAACATGACTCACCATCTGTCCATCTTTAGCCATTTTCTTGATGTCCATAATGATTTTCTTTTCTTGTTGTTCCATTCTCATATTTTCACGATCCAAATCTCGCATTGCTTTATTCAGAGCACGCTGATTTTTTCTCAACATCTCATCGGGCGACATTCGACGCCCAAATAACCATTCTAACGGCATACTGCTGTAGATGTTTGATTCCAAATTGGTCTACTATGAGAAGGGTAAATATCATCAATAATATGGTTAACTGATTAAAATGCTGTAATTGATTTAGGTAATTAAATAAGGATACTTAATCTAAATTAAAGAATTAAACAAGGTATGAAATGTAATTAATAATTATAATTATGACTCACCAGTCACCGCTCACTAGTTCTTCAAATTCTACTCACGTAATTGTGTCCTACGATATATTTTTTAAGCACAACTAATAAAGATAAAGAGAAAACATAAAATATAAAAAAAATTAGGAAAACAATATCTAATATCTATAATAATGACTATTTGTGTAATAATTTTGTTATTGTTTCTTATCAGTAAACATTACTCATCGTGAGTGAAAACTAAAAACAAAGTTGTACTGATATCAATATAATTTGGCTTAAATCGTGACATGAGTTAAAGATGATAATATGTACATGGCGGACATGCAGTAGTTGTGGTTTCGAGTCTCGACACTCCAAAGAAATTTTTTTTCCAAAGTCATAAACTCATAAATAACTTGCGTTTACCATTCTGTTTTATAAGAAAAAGCTATTAATAGTTAATTAGTATTCATAATAATAGTGAAATATAATATAATATAAATTATAATTATTAAATCATAATAATAAATTAATAACTTTTATATATTTTTTTTAAATATTATTAATGTATGAACTTCCTAAATTTTTAGCCCCCCCCCCATACACCCACACACACACAAATTGAAAACACGCTGTTGTGGACAGGTGACAGAATAATGACATAATATAGTATCATCATTGATTATATAATAGACTATTCTATAATCAATGGTATCATGTTGACATACGAGCAATGGATAAAGAGGACATACGCACGTCCTATTGTCCCACATAATTTAGGCCGGCTATATTATGAAATATGAATTATGATGGTAAATAAAACTGATAGACTGACTTACCCAGTATAGGTACCTAAATAGGTTTAAATCTATCAATATATTCTGTGATGCCCTCTGTTTGTTATACTACATGTTAAAACATACGGGTCTGATGTGAATTTCCAAATTAAAAAAATTTAATAAGACTAGACAGTAGACTAGACAGAATGTATTCATATTTCATATTTTCATACATGTATTATAATTGCTTTTGTTTCGTATTGACACGCTGTGTCAGTAAGTTGCTGAATGATGATCGCGAATTAAATTGTAGACAATGTTCGCGATTTTGATAGTTCAGATATGGTCTAATTATGTAGTAATGTCTACCAGACAGATATTGGTATAGTAGCATTATTTGTCAAAAATCTCGCAGAATATTGCACTAACGTCTAATAATAATAATAGTTTTAACCCAATTAAATTTTTTGTTCTATCCTCCTTCCATTAATTAATTTTAACTTTCCACCAAGAGTCCAATTCTCACTTGTTAGTTAATACTCTCTTTTTACTCAATTTTTATCGTCTAATTATCTACTAAATTCTCCTAATTTACCTTTTATTAGTTGTCTTAAGCGTATTGCAAAGAAGACCCCATTTCCTATCACAACATTTAACGGTATTATTATTATTCACTATTCACTATATATACACTATAATATATTCTTTTAATTATTGAAACGAATAATAATCAAACGTATTATATTTTTGTTTCTCGGCTCTAGTCTGTACTTGGTACTTTAACATTCGTTAAAAAATTAAATATTAGTGTATTACCCATAATTGTCTAGTCATAGTTTATTCTGTTTATAGAAGATCATTTTTCTATTTTTAAATTGTGTAAGTGGTTCAAGTTCAAGACTAGAGAGTAAGATACCAAGGTGAATTCGATTCACCTTGCTAGAGACTATAAACTTGACAGCTGATATGGTATAGGTAGGACAGGACGTATCTCAGTCCGTGCTCGACAAGTAAGAATAAGAAACAGACAGAGAACCTTAGTCTTTACTGCAGCTTGCAAGTTACAACGCATTCATGTGCATTGTGCAACTCGTGTAAGGTACAGTTTGGTAAAGTACTAAAACTAAAGTGATCAATGATCATGGTAATGGTAATCATGGTATAGGTTACAATCCTTTCGTAGACTTCTTATCTCTACTATTTGAGTATAATAAATATTATTATTAATTTGTATACCTAACCATCACATAACTAAAATAATATTATGTATAATCGTGTTGCACTGTAGTTGCGTAACCAACATAGACCTTATACTAATACTAGACAGTATAAGGTCTATGGTAACCAAACATTACTTTTTTATCTACAATCGTGGTTATCAGCTTATCAGTTATCACGAAAAGTTTAAAAATTTAAATATTTTAAATATAAATACTAAATAGGTAGGAATTAAATACCTAGGTAAAAAAGATCTTCAAAGGTAGTGTATTATTAAATATTTTACAATATTGAACAAAAATACAATGTGTACACATAACGCAAATTACGATTGGGTAAAATATCCATTTATAAATAATTCTCATTCGTAATCTAATAAAAAAGCTATCGATAATGTGTTCATGTGTTATACGAGTGATATGCGTCTACTCGTGGCTAAACAAATATATTTGTTTTAGTCATATGCCTACCAACTAAACATCTATATGGTTTATTGCAAGGATAAAAAAAACAAAACTTATCTATGCCCTATGGCATAATTTAATTGGCCATTCAACATTTTACGTGTATCAACGTGTGTTTGACTTTGACTTTACACGACTATCAAACTTTTTGATTAGTCTGAGGTAGTTAGATTATATTATATATAAATATATATATATATATATATATATATTTTTTTATTAATATAACTGTAGTTGTTGTTTTCAAATTATAAAATTTGATTTTGATTTTTTAGTAAAAAAACATTTTACAATCATGCTCGAAGTTTTTGAGTTGCAATGTTTTGTTCAAAATTACTTGTGGGGTAAAAAAGGTTCTGCGAGTGAAGTTAGTCGCTTGAGTTTGGCTGGCCAACATCTAGATTCTATAGATGAAAAACAGTTCTACGCTGAATTGTGGATGGGTGCTCTTCATAAAAGTCCTTCGTTAGTAAAAAGCTCTGGGCAGAAATTGAGTGACTGGATAAAAAGCAACAATGAGGCGTTGGGCTTAAAGTCTAGATTAAAATTTGGTGATGAATTGCCATTTTTAATGAAAGTGTTATCCATAAACTCGGCCCTCTCCATTCAAGTGCATCCATCTAAGGTAAAAACATATTAATAAGCTGTGTCAACATAATAATTTTTACCTTATTAATTTAGGATTATGCTGAAGAACTAAATAAGAAATTTCCTAAACTATATCAAGATTCTAATCATAAACCAGAAATGGCTATTGCGCTTAGTAACTTTGAAGGACTTTGTGGTTTCCGTCCATATTCTGAAATTAAATTCTTTTTAAAAGGTAGGTACTTGTATGTTATGTTTTTAAAATAAAACTTATCAGTAATTCATATTATGTCATTTAGAAATACCAGAATTTCAAAATATTGTTGGATATGAAGTTATTGATAAATTTAAAAAAGATACTACCGATTCACAACATTTGCTTAAGGAAATATTTTACAAGTTAATGACTTCAGAAAAAGGAATTATAAGCCAAAATGTTGGCAGCCATAAAAGAAAGCTGCAATCGCTGTGTAAGTGATTTGTGTAAATGAAACTATCAAATTTTCAAAAATACCTATACAGCGTGTCTCACTGTATTTGTATTATTATGATTAAGGTTAATAATGAAATTATATTACAGGCGATGATAAAAAAAACGTGTTCTTAGCAAAACTATTTAATCAACTCGATTGTTGGTTTCCAAATGATGTTGGATGTTTCTGCATATATTTTTTAAATTATATTCAACTCTCACCAGGTCAAGCAATATATTTAGGAGCTAACGAACCTCATGCTTATATCTATGGTGGTCAGATTTCTTTAATATATAATATAAATGCTTTTAAATTGAATAACTGCTTTTGTAACAACTTATAATTTATATCATTGTGTATGGGTAAAAGTAAAAACAAAAATTAATCTATTGATTCTATTAAAAATGTGTTTGTTTAGATTGCATTGAATGTATGGCTTGTTCTGATAATGTGATAAGAGCTGGGTTGACTCCGAAATATATTGATGTAGAGACTTTATGCAGGGTAATACATTTTAATGGGGCACCTGCTGAATCCAAGTTGTTTTGTGGAGTTGAAGAAAATTCTTATACAACACTTTTTAGACCTCCAGTTCCTGATTTTGCAGTGGCTTGCATTAAAGTACTTGAATACAAAAAATCAAATCAAAAATAATTCACTGATTTATGTATAATTTTGCTTTTTTAAGGTTCCTGCAGATGAAGTTTATGAATTATTGAAAAGAGATGTTGCTTCCATAATTATTGTTATAAATGGTCAAGGTAAAATAACTGCACCACAAGATTTGATGTTATCGCCAGGAAAAGTTTTTATGATACCAGCTAATGTCGTAATTCAAATACAAGTAGGATTTGAGTCTTTAGAATTATATCAAGCATTTGTTAATTTATAAATACAATTTTAAATACATAGGTAGTATAATTATTTGCTCTCTACAATTTGTCTGAGAAATTTTTACTAAAATATACTAAATTATTGTCAAATAGTTATTTATTTTCATTTACAATTTTTAGTATGATATTAGTTTAAAATATTTTTAAAATTAACTTAGTAATTTCTACTAACTTTAACCATAATTAAACTAACTTCTTATGCAATTGATCATATTTTGATTAGAAAAATTGAAATACGTGGATATTAAAAAAAATGTCTTAACATAACATGAAATAAAAGTTAAAATATTATTTATATTGAAATTGAATAGGTTCCTATAATATATTATTGGTAGAAAAACCTGTTACCATTTTAATTTTGTTATTTAATTTTAAATAAAAGTTGAGATTAAAATACCCACATATTATGTGTTATTATGCAAATATATTTTAGTAAACCTATTAATTTTAATTGGGTTTAGCCATTTAAATAAGAATAATTAGATAGATTTAATAATAATATATAAACTTAAATATCCAAGGCATAGCTGAATGGGGCATTTAAACATCTGAAAATGTCATGTAGTGCCACTTCTAGTAAATACTACAACCGCTTTAGAACAGTTTAGTGATATACTTCAATACTACACTTTGGCACTGCAGCGTTTTTTGATTTATTGAATTATACTTAGTACAATAGTACTGTATTCTTATAAATATGCTATATTATGTTTATTCTATTTTAACTGGGTTCATACAGATATTGATGTTTTTTTGATCAATCTCAAAGTAGATTGCAAAATAGGGAAAACAACATGCTTTTTCTTTAATTAATTTTCATTCATTTACGTTAAGAGGAAACCTTGGCAGTCAACTTGAGGACCAACCTTAGTTGGTTGATTTGAGAAGGAGATGAATATTGCTTGACAATAGCTTCACATATACTGGTRGCTGCTGAATTTCCTGCATAACTTGAATGAAATTTAAAAATGTGTACGTAATATTATAAAACCCTATTTTTTTTGTTTAAAGTTGAACTTTAATTATTTAATCACTCACTAAATGAATTTAAATGTCCAATATTTTTGTGGAAAATCAATATTAAAATTGTTTTGGGTGATTAAAAGCTAAATGGTTAAAATATTACTACACCTCAATCTAAAAGAGATACCAGGCGGTAACTGATTTAAGTTTGGCTACAGAATTTGTAACTCCTATAAAACTCCTACAATGATGGAGTTACCAGTCGAAGATGAAAATAATGCGCAGAACTGGTGTCTTCCCTTATGTAAATATAGTATAGATAGATAGATAAGAATATGAGACAAAAACAGTAAAATACAATTATAAACTTAAAAAAAAATCAGTATTTATTATAGCATCATAATATGTATTACAAATTCCAATTCAAGTTTCTCTATCTTTCTTTTCTTTTTTTTGTTTCAAGATATTATTTAGATGCTTAAAAATGTATTATTATATAGGCTTAGATACCTAAAATCTATTCAGATTCTTTACAATAGGTATGTTGCACTTTACTTTTTTGTAATATAGATGTTATCAGGATCATTGAAAAATAAAGAGCAAATAGATTTCAAAAATAAAGTTGGTACAATTGTTATTTTTGTTGTAATTATGTTAGAGAGTTATAATTGGAATCCATATTGTACATAATATGTTACATATTTTTCTAGATGAAGTGTATTTTTTAATTGTTGAGTATTTTATATAATATTTTTGGCTCAGTTGATAATTAACATTTCACTTGCCAGCATTCCACTTCAAAACATTAATAGTCAAATTATGACACTAATGGTAAATAAGTGCCCTTTACTATACCGATTGGTTGATAGTTAATATTTTTATGAGAAGTAATTTTTTGCACTTTTTGAAACTATAAAAAATAATGGAATACTTATTAAAAATAATGTAAATTATTTTTTTAAAGGAAATAAGATGTAAACCATTAGTAGGTTTATAATAGTTAAGAACTAAAATTATTAGTCTAACTTAAATGATCTAAATATATAATAATTCAAAGTCATATTGCTCAGCAGACTACAACAACTAAAATATATTAGTATAATATTTTATAATATGTACATAATATTAAAAAGACATTATTTTTCTTTTACCACAATTCTATTGTTTTACTAATCCTTCTATTTTTTTGAGTACATTCTCTGCCGATTGATCAGATAGATGTTCACTTCGTTCTTGTCCAAATTCTAAATAAGTAAAATATATCATGATTTAATTATGACAAATATTTAGCTTAGATTAATCCACTCGTCTTTTTGCATACATTTTATAAATGATATTGATCGACCTTTATTTATCCTTTCAACATCACAATTTGTGTAATTTAAATTCTTTTAAGTATTAATGAAATTTTGTCAAATAATACTCACCAAATCGAGCAAACACTTTTGGTTCAATACCACTGCATTCGCGTACTAAAATTGGAAACTTTGGATTAGCTTTTTTCAACGAAGTGTAGTATTTTTCTATAAACTGCCTGAAAATAGTTAAACGTATTATCAATCAGAATTAGGTATTGGTCATACAACAAAAACACTAACCGAACTCCTTTGCTTGAGGGAGATGACTGACATAAATGCAATCGTAGTTCTTTTAGGTGGCTACCAAACTTAACGGCGGACATGATTAGATTTGGGTAAATAAATACGTAAATAAAGGACAACAGCAAGTAGCAACTTGTAATTACTTTCTTGAAAGTTAAAACTTAAAAAACGTAATAATATGGTGCCATGAAATTAAAAATTTTCGAGCGATAACACTTATCAGCAGATCAAACATTGATCATATGATCATATCGAACATCATAAATTGTCAAGGTCAATAGTTTAAAATTGTCCAAGAGATGGCGTATTCACTTGTCAAATGTCCAGTTTCTCGTCAACTGGACATTTTTTAGTTTTTGTTCAGCACCCAAAATTTGAAACATATTTTAATAACATAATTTTCCACTATTTAAAATTGTTTACCATTAGCCCCTGGAAATATTTTCAACTTTTAAACGTTTGTGATAAATCTTAAATCGCGATAATATGTGGATTATGATCTAAGGTGGTAATCAAATACCACAAAATATTTTGAGATAACATTATAGCTGATAAGTGATAAGATCAAAATTTCAAATTTTCAAACACTTAAAATTATAAACGGTTGTTGGTGAAAAATCTAAAGGTGTCAGCCATTCTTTTTCTTTTAAGTTATAATTTCAATATTATATTTTTAGTTACTAGATATTTAAAATACATAATAAACATATTATAATGTTGTTATACTTACATTAATTATTATCTGTACTTTTCAATAAGAATAATCAATGTGTTATAAGCTTTAGATTTTCACCTTCTTCCGAAATACATTAAATACACAACTTTTTTATTGATGGAATTTGATCAAGTTGTGGTTTTACGTCATCTCAAAGAATTAGGGTATGAAAATGTCGAGTCTCATTTGCTTCAAAAATTCATGAAAGGTATGTAAATAATATTAATATAAACTTGTTTTCATATTACTTTTGCTATTAGTTGTGTACACATTATAGGTAGTTAAATGCTGATTGAATACTTAAATTAACATTGATTTATATAAATGATAAATCAAAAGTATGTTTTATAAATTTCAGGCTGAGTCTTGGTGAAAGTTTATAGGTGTAGAAGTAGGGTGGCCAGATAAAAATTATAAAAATATGGGACTTAATTTTTAAATTAATTTATATCTACATATTTTGAATGAAATGCCTAATTATTAAAAGTCTTAATGATAACTAAATAATGTAACTTACAAAATTAATAAGACAATTTTTTTGGATATTTGATTACAATATTACAAATTATAAATATTTTTTTTTTGTATTTATTTATGTAAATAATATAGAGGCAATTAATTTTCAGATAAATATGT